TAGTTTCATTTTTAGGTTAATAATTCAATCTCTGTGCCCAAACCTGGCTAGGCAGAGAAAGATACCAAAAACAAAACAAAACAAAATAAAAAAAACCCCAAACAAACCAAAAAACCCACAGCTGCTGAGACTAAGATTTATTTGGAGAGAATAACCATTGAGCATATAAATTACAGTATAATGCAGTAATAACAAATAGCAAGATAAGAGGTTTAAGTAACAAATGCTACAGCAATGCAGAGGAAGGGATGATCAGAGCTGAGATAGAGAATGAAGGGCATGTCTTCCTCCCAGCAGTGTTTTCACTGCTCTCTGCCTCATTTATCTCTCTATAAAGTAAATCCTGCCTTCTTCCTTTCTATAAGAATTCTGGAAAGACAGAGCAGGCCGAAATATGCCTTACAGCCTTAAAGGAGAGTTCACAGTATTACAATAACAAATGAAGTTAGAAGCCAACTATTGTCTACTGAAAAAACCCCAACTCTACACTATGGAAAACAAGTTCTTTCAACACCATAACCTGAGTAAGGAGTAAAGTGATAATCCTTGAATTATGAATTACTTTCAAGAAGACAAAACTAGAGTCAATATTATTTCCAAATAGTACAGGCTTAAAAAGCCTAACTCGCTCTTAGTTTCTCTACCTAATCCCTTTGTAAGGCTGATACAATCAAAAGGTTCTGTAAAATAGTTTTAAAATATATAACACATGTGTTTTCCAAAATTTTTTTGAATTAATTCTTATTTTTCAATTGCAGTTGACATTCGATATTATTTTTTATTAGTTTCAGGTATACAGCACAGTGGTTAGACATTGACATGATTTACAAAGTAATCCCCCCAATAAGTCTAGTACCCACCTGGTACAACCAAATTTTTTTGATTTTTGGATAGATTTTTCAATATCTCAACTAAAAAAGTTTCTACTACCTAGGTCCCTATGGGTGACTTTCATCGCCACATGTTTAATTAGGATTGTATTGTTATTTATACCTCAATACTTTTCGGAGAAAAGCAAAGCAAATTCTGCTGAAAATTTATCTAAAGTGAACAGATGATTTGGGGGAAAACATTCTGAAAGTCATTTACAATGAAAATAAGTGAAAAAAAAAAAAGGGTGGGGCCATTTAAAAAGCACCCAAAAAAGTGAATAAAAGGCAGTGGAAGGGTTTCTCCCACAAATATTTACCTGATGCTGAGACTTCAGTTATCAGCAGTAGAAGGCACTTTCTGTCTCAGTGGATACCCTCACACACACAGGTACCATACTGATCCAGAGAGAGTAAAGAACTTTGTTCAAGTGTCACAGCTAGTGAATAAGTGGCAGAGCTTGGACAGAACCAAGTCTCTTGAGTCCAGGCCTTTGCTCTGTTCAGGACTGTTGCCTAGGTTTGGGGCATATTTGGTTTCCTGCAGCTCTTTAATTCAAATTTGAAATCTGCTTGTGCAAAGGAATTCCAAGGTGCATGTCCATAGATATTTTGGTCTCTAGAAAGCCCTAGACAGAGTCTCACTTGAAGTATGAGTAACTCTGCTTTGTGGTATTTGAACCCGAAGGGTGAACGACCTTAAATTGAAAGCATTATATTCATATGGTAAAGGGCTGTGTATCCGGATTCAGGACAGTATTGGGGACATAAAATATACTGGATCAAAACCAAAAACATATAAACAAAACACTAGGATTAGCATTATCATTTCTTTTCCAAAATGATGTAATAATTGTAACTGCACGCATGCATAACTTTGAAAAAATCCAAACCAGAACCTTCTAAGATTTAAGTCAATAGAGATAATCAACAGAGATTTAAGTTTACACTCCCTAATGTGGGATAAGGAACAAAAATACTAATACCTAGAAATAGCTTACAGAAAAGAAGGAAATGGCAGGTACATACATCAAAAGGAAATAAAAAGCTGTTGTTGGGGCCTTTAATCTTCTCGCTGTGCAACTCACTTCAGCAGAGTCAGGGCAACCTTCGTGCTGCTCCCACGAGCTGAAAAAACGTCTCTTTAGCTGAATGTAAGAGTATCCAAGAGCCTGATTAGGGCTCTTCCAAGTACAAAAATTAACATCAGCAATGCTATAAAAAAAAAAATACCTCCTATCTACTTGTGCATATATCCATTTCTTCAGCTATTATCCCAAGTCAAAAAAACCCAATCTTTACCTCGACTAGAACCATAAATACTGCCTGGAATGATAGGGTTTATGATCAATCTTTCACTTTGTTCATAAATAATTTTCTCAGAAGTAATTTAAATCAAATGTATACAGTCTTATCAAATTCACTACTTAAAAAAAAAAAATCTGATTATAGTTCATCTTCCCAGTGTGACTGTGAACACTTTAGGGTAGCACAGAGTTGTCCTTATAGTAGATTGATGACACCCAAAACCGGGTTTTCTAATTTTAAGTCTAGGCTGCTTCCACTGAGTCACAGAAGATGGTCAAGAAAGAAAAGCCAGGCTTCCTCTGTACCTGGCCACAGAGTAACCCTATTACCCCAGGCAATGATCCTACAGATGTGAGCCTGAGAGAATGGCAGCATCAATCAACCCACCCTCACTAACAAGAAAACAAATTAAGGAGCAGATTCCACTGCTGATGGGGACATGACTTCTAGATCTTGAAGACAGCCTGTACACAAGTGCACTGACTCTGGATATAGGCTCCTCATTGTTCCTAGTGGCATTAATTTCAGGGCTCATGGGCCTACTCAGTGAAGCTAAAGCTCTTGGCTACACAAAAGGAAGCTGGTTATTTGGTGTACTAGAAGGAGTACACCCAATACTCTTGACAAGTCCTACACTCAAGTTCATATTCCTACTCTATTATTGACATGCTTTCGGGACCTTAGTTTCTTCAACAGGAAAATGGGGGTGATAAGACCCCTTCTCAGAGTCATTGTAGGCAATATGTCCAGTTCAGTGCCTGGCAAATAGTCAAGGCTCATCAAAAGTGGGTCTACTACCCACTGACCTTTCTGCTCAGAATACTTTCTTGCTTGTTTTCTATATTCTGGATCAAATCTACTTTTTATAAACCTGAATAGCCTTACCAAGTACCAAGTATGACCCTACTACCGTCTAGTTTATTAAAATCATCTGTGCGGGGCAGGGAGATCTGATAATGTTTAGATGTAATAATCCAGATTTAATCTTGCTACTTGAAGTGTGATGTACAGACCAGAAGCATCAGCCATTATTTGGAAGTCTGTTTGAAAGGCACACTCTTAGGCCCCATCCTAGACCTACTAAATCAGAATTTACGATATCTCCAAATGATATGTTTACATCTGAAAGTTCAAGAAATATTGTTCTATAATATACATGAATATTCAATAAATCAAAGCCTACTGACACTCTAAGGAATCAGCTCTGGCAACTTCTGCTGCTGGTGGTACTCTATGAATCTTTAGGTAGAAAGCAACTACCGACCAGGGCATTTACAGTGGAAGGATGGAATAACTGTACGCTTCTTATTTTGCGCCTTTTGAGTTTAAAAAACAGTGCACTAAGTACAATGATTTTAAGGCAATATTTAAATCTTCTATATTAATGCAATTTTTGTTATGTGATAAGAACTCTGAATATAATTAGTAATATGAGCATTCTGCTTATATGTAAACTAATAGCAGGAAGGATATTTTCAATGTAGTAATTTCTGGTTTCTAGGGTGTAACACATAAAAGATCTATTAGTAATAAGCTTTCACAAACTGAATGTTCTCAACACAGGATGAAAATGTTCTAAAGCATGTCTTTGTTTCTAATGTGCACTGTGATCCCATGCATGTGCTCTTCCTCACTCTCATCAACTTTCTGAAATATTTTTTAGTTCTTTCCAGTTATATGTGAAAGTACAATTTTTAAATGTTCTTGAAAGTAAAATTACAACCCAAATTTCTAAAATGAATCACCAAATGCTGGATAGGGAAACTGGTAACTTGGTGTATTAGGAAACAAAAACCAATCTGAGTGAGTCATCTCTGTGATCATAGATAACACAGCCACAGCCAGGGCTTGTCACAAACAAATGCCTACAGCAACCACATGTCAGAATCTTGTGTTTAATGGTTTCTCACATTAAAATGCATCAGTCAGCTCTGTGAAACCAGGAAGTGGAACCCAGGACACCACATAAATAACAAACACACTCTCTTAAGTTTGGTATTATTTATCTTTGTGCTCTAAGTCCATTTCAATTTTTGGTAGATACATAAAAATGAAAGTGCTGTTTTGTCAGGAGGTAAGCAGAAAGGTAAATGCTAACATGACAGGGCTTCTGAAATATTCCACAGGACAATTTCAAAACTTTTTGGAAGCCTATTTATTGAAGCCTTTAATCTAAAATGATAAAGGTGATCAGAAGTTGGCAGATGCCTCAAAAAATGTAACCGAGGAAGTTATAATAGGCTCTAGAAGCAGAAAGCCTGTTATCATTTGTTTCCATGCATTATCTATATGCATGGCTCTTTCTGAGGTATTACAAGCTAAAAAGAAAAGATGAGTGGGTAGTGAATTTGTGCTACACGGCACTGCCATACAGATGCTACTCCTTGCACCCACTAGCGAACGCCTCTGTAGTGAACAACCAGAGGTCCTCCTGAACCACTGGACAGGGGATATATGTCAGGACCAAGCCTGTCCCATTTTGGCCAGGCTCAACTCAGGGATAATGCAACACCGAGGCTATGCTTTTCAAATGGGGTATCTCTTATCAACACCACACATCCATTGGCCAGCTGGGCCCCAAGGAAACATCACTTGAACAGTAGGTATGAGCTCTTGTACCCACAACATAAGCACTTTCCGCTGAAACACTGGAGATCAGTTGGAGGCAATGGCAATACCTCCAGGTCCATTCCTTCACTAGACCACTCCCAAAGTAAAAACAAACAAACAAAACCATTATAATTTCTAAAATAAGAACAGGATAAAATGCCTGCATAAAGCCCCTATGCCCACCCCCCATTATTTCCATTATGCATACACTACCTCATAATGAAGGGAATAAAGGGTGCCATGCTGAGAGCAGAACAGGTGCCATCCATCGGGGAAGGGTAGAGTCTCCCCAACACCAAAAGTAAGAGAAACATGCTTGGATGATGGTTTAGTTCGCCTACATCACTGAAAAAAATGATTGTACACAAAAGATTTAAAATTTAAGAGGTGAGGCACTATCTTCAAACATTTTTCTCATTATATAAAGTGACTTTTTATGATTAAAGGATAGTTTTTCTTTTTTCATTTTTTCCTCCATTCTCTTTATATATTGTGCAAATAAGGAAGAACTACTGGCAAAGCCATGGATTGGGCTTTTGTACACAATTCTCTGATAATTTGAGTCTGCTGTTTTGATTCGAGCTATCCATATAGTAGAGAGGTGCCTCTTCCAGAGTATGAAATGTGAGACTTTCAACATCCAAAAGTACTTAAGAAAGCATGAACAGTCACTTATTAGGACCAGAAAAGCCTGTCTGCACAAATTACTCATGAGGAAATGTATCATAAACAGAAGTAAAATTCACTGATGTTACTTTATTCTCCCAATTACAACCAGCATAAATTCATACCAAGTACAAAAATTGCTTAGAAGAATAAAAAAGCCCATGTTCTAACATGTCCATACTAAAAATTACACCAGCAGCTACGGAATAGACAATGGTGAACTCTTCTATTTGCCTTAATCAGACTGGAACCCCTCTAAATGTCTGTGTTTCCAGGTCACTGGCCCTCTTTGCTCAGGTAGACCAGTTCCATTTCTGATCATAGGTGACCAGATTAGTCAGCTAATTGCTGTAGTTTCACAATGGTCAGCTGTAACAGACCAGTAATAAAAAAAATGACAGGTGTGTGTTCAAGTTAACTCAATATGTAAACACATAATTTAAATATAATAGGAAGAAAATGATTCTTAATAGAGGAAATCACCATGTGCTTCTAAGAAACTAGTTCCTGTATAACACTGAAAACAGGATTAAATTTGATAAAATTTAATATAAAACAGGGTTTTAAAAATATAAAATAAAATATAATAAAATATAATAATGAGATTCTATGAACTTCTCAGGTATAAATCTACCAGAGTCAGGCAATATGATATAATAAAAAAGCGTTTATAAAAATCCATCTATGTTACAGGGAGGAGCTGATTAAAAATTGTTGCCTGGAGGGAAAATCTCAATTAAGAAAGTAATTCACATCCTTGATTTCACTTTGCCCCACTCTGTTCTTTTCTTACCTGTCCACAGTATTGGCTACAGCTTCTAACTGTTTGAGAAGAAAAGGATAGAGTTCTGGGAAACGAGAGAAAAATTCACTCCCTGTCATTCTGTGGAAAGAAAACAAAAAAAGATGAATTACTATCATTTATTTCCTCTAATTTGATAATAAAGCCTTTTTATTTCATTTTTTTAAGGGAGAGATAACTAAGATCATTTATTTAGATATTTAATAAAATAAAGTTAAGAACAAAACCTGCTTCTGAAGAATTTAACAATCAATAGAAACAAAACATTTAATTTTGATTTGGGAAGTGCTCTTAACGTGGAATTTTATCTCAAAGTTTAAGATTACAAAGTTTAAGATTACTCTGAAGGGGTGGCATAAATCTTCCCTAACTTTCCGCCTCTTATCAACTTTAGATGTATGCTCCTATTAATGGAGAACCCAATTATCATATTTTTAAATTTGCAGTATATTTTACACACAATGAAATGCTCAAATCTTAAGTGTATCATATGATCAGTTTTTACAAATGCATACACTCATGTAATCCACACCCCAATGAAGACTCAGAAAATTTCCATCATCCCAGGAAAGTTCCCTTGTGCCCCTTCCCAGTGAATTCCCAATCCTCAAAGCAATCATGATTTGATTTCTATCACCACAATTTGGTTGTTTATTCTAGAATTTCATATAAATGTAATAATACATAATTTTTTGTGTCTAGCTTCTTTTAATTGGCATAAAGTTTATGAGATTCATTCATGTTATTTGATGTATCAATAGTTTGATTCTTTTTTTGTTAAGTAGTATTCCATTGTATGAATATACAAATTTGTTTATCCATTCTCCTCTTGATAAACATGGACTGTTTCCATTTGCTAGCCATCATGAATAAAGCTGCTATGAACATTCTTGTATAGGTTTTTGTGAACATATATTTTTGTTTCTCTTAAATACCTGAGAACAAAACTACAGTATATTTAATATTTTAGAAAACTGAAAGTTTTCCAAAATAATTTCTATAGCATATGCTATTGTCTTTCTCTTTTCCATTTTAGCCATCCTAGTGGGTATGGACTACTACCCACCTGTGATTTTGATTTACATTTCCTTGATGATTAATGATGTTAAACATGTTTCATGTGCTTTGGTCATTGGTATCACCTTTTGGAAAGTATCTTTTCAAGATTTTTGCCCATTTTCAAATTAAGTTGCTTATTTCCTCTGCGATATATACGCATTGCATGTACTTTTTCCTAGTCTATGGCTTGCCAATTTATTTTCTTAATGTATTTCTGATGAACAGAAGTTTTAAAATTTGATGAAGTCCAATAATTGGATCTATTTTTTTCTTTTATGATTCATGCTTTCAATAGTCAAAGAAATCTTTTCTTATCCAAACATCACAGATATTCTGTTTTAATCTATAAGTTTTATAGTTTCAGTTTTTTTTATTATGGTCTATGATCCATCTGAAATTAATTTTTGTGTATGGTGTGAGGTAGAGATCAAGGTTCTTTTTTTACATTTTTGTATCATATTTTTAATAGAAAGATGCCATAAAAAAAGATATGTGCCTTAAATAGGAGAGCTGTGCCATGTTCATGGGTGAAAACATTCAATATTATAAAGATAAAATTCTCCCCAAATTCAATGCAATTCCAATAAAAATAGTGTGTGTGTATGTAACTGGACAACCACATTCTAAAATGTATATAGATGTACCAAGAGCCAAGAGTAGCAAAGATGATCTAAAAGAACAAGAAAGTTGTAGGACTCATCCAATCAGGTAGCTAGAAATGTTATAAAACTTTAGTAATTAGGACACCGTGGTGACAAGTAGGCCAATGAAATAAAATAGAGGACATAACGATACATGCATATAGAAAAACTTGATTTATGAAAGAGCTGTTGCTACAGATGACAGTACTATGAAGATCATTGGTGCTATGATAATTAATTATCCACAGGGACAAAATTAAAATTGGGTCTCAACTTCCCACTACATACAAAATTAAATTTCAGTGAATTCAAGAATTAGAAGTAAAAAGTAAAACTGCTAAAATCTTTAAAAGACAATAGAGAATAGAATTTATTGAACAAGACCCAAAAAGCATCAATTAGTAGGGAAATTTAATATAATCAAGTACATTAGTTAATATATTTTTGAAAATTTTGTACACCAAAAAATGGTATAAAGAAAAATACAAAATAATAATAAAATACAAAATAAGAAGTAAACACACAAAGTATTTTTGGCTAAGGAAGAATATGAAATGTTATGGAATAAAAGAGACTTGACACTTAAAAGACTTACCCTACTAAAAAAGACTAAATGCAGCGTGTGGACCTTGTTTGGATTCTAATTCCAACAAACTAACTATAAAAAAGACATTTCTATGACTATTAGGACAATTTGAATATTAAGAAATTATTAACTTCCTTAGACGTGATAATAGCATGGTGGTATTTCTTTTTAAATTCTCTTATCAATCAGTAATGCATACTAAAGTATTTATGGTAAAAATAACATGATGTCTGAGACCTACTTTTCAGGAGGGCAAGAAATGGATAAATAAGAGTGGCAAAATGTTGATAACTGTTGAAGCTGAGTGATGGATATACAGGGCTTAGTTACACAAGTCTCTTTACTTTTACATGTTAAAAATTCCCACTTCTCCCAAGAAGACATACAAATGGCTAACAGATGTATGAAAAGATGCTTACCTACAACAGCTATGAGGAAAATGCAAATCAAAACCATAATGAGATACCAACTCACACATGTTAGAATGGCTATTATCAACAACACAAGTAATAACAAGTGTTTGAGAGGTTGTGGGGGAAAAGGAACCCTCATACACTGCTGGTGGGAATGTCAATTGGTATAGCCACTATGGAAAATGGTATGCAGGTTCCTCAAAAAACTAATAGAATTACCATATGACCCAGCAATCCCCCAAATCTGAAAACATTTATCCATAAAGATGTGTGTACCCCGATGTTCACTTCAGCGTTATTCATGGTGGCCAAGACATGGAAACAACTGAAGTGTCCTTTGATAGATGATTGCATAAAGAATATAGGGTACATATAGACAATGAAATATTATTCAGCCATATAGAAAGATAAAATATTGCTATTTGTGACAACATAGAGGGATCTTGAGATTATCGTACTAAGCGGAAAAAGAAAATATTAAGAACCATACAATTTCACTCATATGTGGAATATAAAACAAAGCAACAGATGAACAAGACAAACAAATAAAAACTCATAGACACAGACAACAGTTTAGTGGTTACCAGAGGGAAAGCGGGGAGAGGGGAGTTGGATAAAGGTAAAGGGGGTCAAATATATGGTGATGGAAAGAGATTTGACTTTGAGTGGTGAACACACAATGCTATATAAAGATGGTGTCTTACTGAATTGTATACTTGAAACCTATGTAATTTTATTAACCAATGTCCCCATAATAAATTTAATTTAAAAATTCCCTTAATACAAAGTTTTAAAAAAATTATTAAAAATTAAAATTTTACTTTTCAAGCCACAAATGGAGAGAAAATTTATAATATATCTAATTGAGAATTACATAATTAGTATTCACAGGATATATGAAGAGCTCTAGTGAATCAATAAGTATAAGACGAACAACTCGATATATAAATGGACAAAACCTACCAAAATAAATGCAAAGAAGATAATCATTAGTGGCCAATAAATATATATAAAAAAAAGATTTTCAACTACATCGAGAAACCATTTTATGTCCTTGAATTGGCAAAGATTTACTAAAACAATTTAAAAAAATAATTTGGCATTTTCTTGAAAACCACAGACATTTTTACCCAGTGACTCGGAAATGCTATTCTTAGGTGAATGGTCTATTAACCTCTTGGACATGGGCGACAGAAGGCTTGTATAGCATATGCATAGCAGCCACATATCTATCAACAGTAGCATTAATAAACTGTGGTACACTCACACAATGGAATTAAGTACAGCAGTAAATCAGAATGAACTACAGACACATACAACAACACAGATGATTCTCAGGAATGTATATTAAGTGAAAAAAGCAAGTTACAGAGAATATATGCAATATGATCCTTCTTTGTTTATAACAAAGCACCATTAAATCATATAATGCTATGAGAAGCAAATTTATGTGATAAAAAAATGAAAAGCAAAAGAATAAATAAAACCAAAATTGACAAAAACAATCACTTCTCTCCAAGGGGGACAGAAAAGAAATGGGATTAGGGAGGAACATATAAGGGGCTTCAAAAGCAATGTTCAATTCTTAAACTAGGTGGTAGATCCCAAACTATTTGTTTCATAGTTACTTTTTTAAACCTAACATACATATTACAAATGTTCTTTTGTGCCTATTTCATATTCAGTAACATCAATTTTTTTAGAAGAGTCCTTATTCCATTCCAAATTACATATTTATCGAACATTTATATTGAATATTTTATGTAAAATGTGCTTATTTTCTCTTCTTATTTATTAAATTTATGGAAAATAAATAAATAAAAGAAACGAACTAGACCCCTCCCACCCAGTGCCCCTCCTCATAGAAAACTATGCAAAAGTATCTTAGCTTTCCTTTTTAAAAAACTTCAGTGCATACAAATCCATACTTTTAGTTTGGCTTCCCACCAATCCCACAAATATGCATGTTATATATACTGCTGTTTAACTTATTTTTTACCTAAACTATATCTTCAAAATCGTTCACTATTAGGTACACTAATCTATTTCTTTCCATCTAATGGCTGCAGAGTAATCCATTGCACGGTTGAATATAATCGATTTAATCTCTAATGATAGGCTTTTTGGTTGTTATTCATTCCTTGCTGTTATAAACTATGACATATATAAATCTCCCTGCTAATAAAGTACAAACCTGGGTTTTGCAGGGTCAGTGTTTTACAAAGGAAGGAGGCAAAAACCATTCCATTACAGGCTACTGTTACATTCTTTATCACCTCCAAGCAAAAGTGGTCAAGAATATCAGTTTCCATTTTTAGTAGAGTTACTATATGAATTCAGTACTGGGATCCCTGAGTACACTTCTGCATACAGAATCTCACC